TCACAATTGGAGTCCGAATGAAAGAAAACTGTTAGTTGGCGAAATTATTAATATTGACCATAATTTTGACTAATTCTAAAATGATAAAATTGTAACTTTATATACATATTTTTTAAACAAATCACAATTAAAATATATTAATAATTAATCAAAAATCACCCAACATCCTCCTCTTCTTCCCCTGCCCCTGCCCCTGCCCCTTACCCTAAAACCACCAACAGTAGCAATAACGGTCAACGCCACCGCACCCACCTAATGCCAACGCCACGGACGCCGTCGGTAAAAACACTGCAATAACCACTACACAACAAACTCCCACAATTGAAATAGAGCAAGAGATTGAACCCACTAACATATCATATCTCACTCATGTTAACACAACAGATCCCCTTTAAAATTAGTCAAAATTATGGTCAATATTAATTATTGGTCAACTAATGGTCAAATCAACAATTTCTTTCTATTTGGATTTCAACTGCGATATTTTGAAAGATTTGGTACCGTGAGTGACACAAATGAAAAATTTGGACAAAATTTGCTACTAAATAAAATGTTTGATATCGTGGTTGCAATTTTTCCTAAATTTAAACTTTAATGAAAATGGATAAGATGAAATATTTATCCTCCCGTTTGGGCTTCATTAAAAATAAATTTTGGGAAAAAATATATATTTTTGAATAATGATTTTTTTTGGAGAATGTGTAGTTAAAAAATAGAGAATTTTTTTTTGAAATTATGTACAAAATATTTTATTGTCGGTGCTAATGACACTGGGAGGGGCTTACATAGGCCCCATTGGCTTCGTGGTAGGCTGTTGAATTTTATTTTATTTTTATTTTTTAGTTTCTTTCTTCTTTTTTTTTTTTAAAAAAGAACCATGTTATCGTTAAGATATATTTGATTTGTTAAATTTTATATAATTAAATAGATATATGATACCTCTTACTAATTCGAAGTATGGAAAATAGTTTTAACAATGAAATGTTTCTTTTGGAGTTCAAACTTTGACGGCGTGTTCGATATTTTTAATGAGATTTAACGTAATAAAATATTTAATTTATTTGTCTCATCCTTTTTTTTAAATGTGTACGATTTTTAACTTTGAGCATGACCCTCATTTTTTTTAAAAATTTATTTTTAATTACACATTTTATGGGATTCAAAAATTTTATCAATTTTTAATCACTTATTTCATCAAATTTTATTAAAATTTACTAAAAATCTACTGTAGAATTTATTTATTTATTTTTCCTTTTCGAAAACACATAAAGATATGCTTCCAAGAAAAAAAAGTAATTAATCATAAATTATCTTAAATTGGTCTACTCTTGATATAGAAAATAGCTAGAATAATTTATCTTGGCCCTCGTTGAAAAACAATGTCTAAGAAATTGATGAAAATCATCGTCTCCTCAAACTCACGCCAATTATTATAACTTCCTTAAAGGTTAATTACAATAAACTAAATAAAAAGTGAGTCAATTTGAAAAGTCAACTACGTAGCATCTCCTCAAAATTCAAAGTCCAAACAAATATATAGTAAAACTCACAATAAATGAAAAAAAAAGGTGATTGACTTTTACGTTAAAACTTATATTTTAGAAATTTGACTTTTAAACGTATTGAAAAATTCAAACATACATTTAGTCCTATTTGGTTTACTTAAAATTTAATTCTTTAATAAATTTTGATAAAAATTGATGGAATATGTGGTTAAAATTAATTATTGACTTTAACTTAAATTTTAGTCAATTTTTTAACCGAACCAAACAATGGCAAGAAAAAAAATTAAATTTTAAAATAAATGATTTTTATTAGTAAAAAAATTAATATATTACGAATTTGACAGTGACGTAATGCCTAAGAGGCATGGATATTGAAAAGAAAACAACGGAAACACGTTGACACAAATCTGTCAAAAAAAGTAGAACATATACATATAGACACGTCGACATAAACATTTTGAAGATATAAGTAATTTATTATATCTTTACTCTTATCTTTTTTATTTCTCGATCTAATCAACACTTCTTTATATTTGAATTTGGCAAATGAAATCTTTTGAACAAGACGAGTGTCTACTTGTCGTATTAAGATAACTAGGGTTAAATAGTACACGATTTGCAAAGGGGAGCTTTGCATACACCGTACTCGTGCATACAACCTAAATATGAGTGTTCTTGATTTATAAAGTAAATTTTTATTTAAAAAAAAGAGTAAGTCAACCAAAAAATGGTGAATAAAATTTTAATTAATTTGTTGAAAATATTGTTCAAAAGTTAATAAACTTGGTTATGGAATAAAAAATGAATTTTGAGACCAAAATGATGAACTATGCGACCGCATAGTTCAATATGGCATGTAGTAGCATAACCATATATCGGGACTAAAGGCTTCATGATTGTATTAACTATGTGGTCGCACCGCATAGAGAAAAAATATAGCCGTTTATGGCTGTTGATGTTTAGATTTTAGTGGTTATTCATCTTATTTTGGCACCATTTCGTGGGAAACTATTGAAACCTATATATAGGTGATCAATGTTCAAAGGCAAGATGATCAATATCATTCTTGAAAATATATTTATTCCACATATCATTGAAATAAAAAAAATCCTTCATACATATTTAAAAAAATTCATTTTTTGTGTTCTTCAAGTTTTGGAGGATTTTTACCGGTGTTTAAGCGTTAAATCATTTATAAGGTTTGATTAATCATGCAAACTATTTGTCATAATCCCTTTAAGTATCATTTTCAATCCAAGATGGGACAAATATAATTTGAGGACAACAGTTTCGTGTTCGAGCTTTCTTTCTCATCTTCTCATTGATCTTCTTTTCAGTTTTCTCCAATTTTCTGATTTTTTGTTCTTTGTTTTCATCTTCATACCTCTTTGTGCATCTTATTTTTTCCAACGGAATTATAGTAAGAAAAAGGAAAGTACAGAGCAAAATGAGATACTCAATCGATGATTGTCAATGGTATTGTATGGACTCTTATCGGATAAAATTAATGTGACTCTTATCGAATAAAATTATTCAACCAAACATTGCAAATGAACTCTACAAATAATTAAATATAACGATTTGCTTACTCTTTTCTTCATCCCATATTCTTTTTAGGATTGATTTGACTAGGAAATTCGAGATAAGAAATTCTTCTCATAGGCAGCATTGCTGTTTTACATAAACTATTTTTATAGTTAAGTTTTATGTCTGAATATACTTAATTAGTAATTGTTACGTTAAATTAATGTTAATATATACCGCATTTAACTAAGATTTGTTATTACTCCTTACCAAACATAAAATATGCATTGATCATTCATGGTACTAAACAAATGTAAAATATCGATTCAAGTAAATTAAATGAAACAAAAATTTGACATGAACGAGAATGACTCTTACAAATTTCGTTACATGAAAGGTAACTTCTTTATCGATCGAACGAGTGACGGAATATTACACATGGTGCCACGTGGCACATTCTATCTAGGAGATAGATAGATAGATATAGTGGTGGTTGTAAATAGTTAGGGAGTGGTCCAACTGTCCTCTCCACACCACCTCTCCCTAATTCCTACCCACAAAAACCGTAAGATTAGAGAATAAGAAGGGGTGGCCACAGGTTGGCAATGTAACCGGCAATTTTGCCCCTTTTACCGGCTGGGTCGGTCGTGGGGGTCAACCGTATAAAACATTGTAGATCGGGGTTTAGCACGGTTTTACATTTGGTTGGTTGGTTGGTTTTCCCAAACCCAGAGGTTTAATAACTATAAAAACTCTTTTTTTTTTTCATTTATTTTTAAAACTCTTGTACCGATCATATTTTTATCTTTTCATGGAATTGTTCATTTGCGTTACGTAAATTCGTAATTCTCAGAATCTGTACAGAAGCAGCAAAGAAATACAAGCATACGCATATATTTCTCATCAAATCGATCAATCGTCAGGTAATATTCTATTTATTTTAATTGTTCCTTTTCTTGATTGGATTTGAAGTTTTAGAATTATTTTTGAAGTGTTGATTTGATCAGCGTGTAGAATTACGTAAATCAGGAAAGTTTTTCTTTTTGGTTTTTGGTGAAATTGAAGTTGATCCTGCAGAGATCTGATCGGAATCTTTAAAATTCTCTTATTTCTTTCGATTGCTTGGGTTAAATTCGAAATGAAAGTTCTTCTTTGAATAAACTGAACAGTTAATTTGGAATTTGAATTTTTGTTTATTTTTTTGGCTTCCGCTAGATTTTTTCTTTTAAATCCCTACGTTTGTATTTCTTACATTTGATGAAACTTCCAGCGATCTGAATTTCAGTTGATGAGAGCCAGGATCATATTACCGGATCTGACGAATTTGAAGTATTTTTTTTAAAAACAAAAAAAAAATCGTATCCTGTTTCCATTCTATTGAAGGTTTTGTTAGATAACGTTCCTTTTTGACTTGATTTTCTGGTGAATCATTTGATTATTTTTGTAGGGTATCAGTTTAAAATCTTCTTATTGTTAAGATCTATGATCAATTATATGTTCATGACTTCTGTTCTTAGTCTTCAATTGAAATGCAGTTGTCTAACCTTGGCATAATTTTGATGAATTGTTATCTATTTTTGTTTGGTATAAACTTCTACTTTTTGATGAATAAGGAGGTCTCAAATAGAGAAGAAAAAAACCCGGCTTATTTCAAGATTGGTGCATTAGAGACTGGAAAGGCTATATTTCAATTATAGATCCCATTTCTAGACCATCTTATACTTTCTTGTTTTCAGTCATTGGTTTTTATAGATTTCGCCCTGCTGAAGCAATCATACTTTTTGGTTTCTAGATTTCACTCCATTACCCTGTCTTGATTTACTGATTATTTCTGGGAAGCTCTGCAATTTGCATGTTCCCATTTTTCTGTTAATTGATAAAATGCTTGTGGAATATTTTATAGATTGAGGGCAATTTCATAACATTACACCACGGTATTTGATGATCTTATCGTGGCATGCTGCCTGAGTCATGGTGTCAAAGAAGAGGCAGGATTATGGATTCAGTGGCTACAGAATCCCGGTTATTCCCAGAGCACCTAGATCAATTAGGGTGAGCATGTGCTTTTGTGTTTAAGCTATATTTTTTTCTACTATTCATAGTACTCCGTATGTTCCCGAGCATCTCAGCTTTATATTTCTTCCCAGAGGAGAAGCCCACGAAAGAAATTGGTGGAAGACAGCACAATTTCTGCATTTGAATTACTTGCAGCTGTAGCTGGAAAGTTGCTACAAGAGAGTGAAAGCTCCACTTCAAGTAATGCAGCCGAAGGGAAAGTGCATCCTGGCTTTTACCGAGATGGTAATAAGACGAGGCTACCTGAAAATGATAAAGCTCTGAAATTCAAGCACTTTGACCAGGGAAGTTGTGTCGAGAGTGCGTTTGTTCCAGAAATTTCTATTCAAGATCACAATAATTTATCAAATGGCAAGGGACTTTCACAAGCAGAAAATGATTCTCTCTTGGAACACACTTCTGCACTTGCAAGTCGCGATTTGCCAACAAATGTTGATTATGATATGAAGTTGGAAATGTGCAAGGACAGAAGTTCAGATGGAACTTTCCCTTGTAAAGCAGAGGGACGCTCGGATGATGTTGGTGATATTTATGACCCTAAAATGGACGATGGACCAGAACAGATAGTGGATGAAATAGAACAGGTAGGCGACTTAACCATGGCTAACACATCCGGTGTAAAAGATCCAATTGAGAAATGTGTGAATACTAATGTACTGGTTAACTCAGAGAGTAGTGTACAGTTGTCCTTGTATAGGGACCCTATTCCTGGTGCTCCGTTGCAAAAGCACAGGAGTGATGTAAAGTTAGGTATTAGAGATGATGACGAAAATTCTTTTGGGTGCAATAAACCTAGCACCAAGATAAGGCCCTTTAGGCTACAACCATGCAATGGATACCATAGAACAAGGAAGATGCTGACATCTAAATACAGGAAAGTAGCTCCAAAATTCAAAGATCGTGAATTTTATAACTCCAGTAAGTGGTTTTAGAAAAAAAATTGTCTCTCTTATAAGTTTGAATTTCTGTATTTTCGTAAACTATCTACATTATGTTACTGATTATCCAATTTCTCCTATGTGAATTGTGTTCTCAGGTGAGGGAATGAAATACTTTTGCCGATACAGGAAAAATATTTGCAGAAGAGAAAGATGTCATTGGGCCCCAATTAAGAAAAGGAAATTGTTTGATCACAGCTTTGAAGTTGCATATGACCAAGAGGCCAGCAGCGAAAGTGTCTCTAATTTACCTGAAAAGGAGATGAAGGGAGATAAGAGTAGCTCAGCTACAATCCTGCATAAAGGTCCTTTATCCCGTCTGGAATTGGAAGTTCTATTGTTATGCAGTCTTCTAATATAACTATTCTTATTTTCTTGCAGAAAATGGTGTGTCAGCTTCAGTTAAAGCTCATCAAAAATCAAAGGACTCTAAGGGTACCAGATTTTTTCATTATGGATTTATATACTTGACTTTTCATCTTTACCTGTATTTTTGTTCGAAGAAGTTCTAACATATGTGTTTTACCCTCACCAGTGAAATTTAACATCAAGTCATTCGGGGTGCCAGAACTTCAAATTGAGGTTCTTGAAACTGCAACCGTTGGTTCTCTGAAGGTTTGCATACTTTCATTGTTGTTTTCATTTAATACAACGTAAAAAATCTGAAATTTAAGCTTTTTTCCTGATTTTCTAGGCATTCATTCTTAGGTTTAGATCCATTTCTCTTGGCTTTACCCTTTATCTGTAATTAACATGCATTTAGAAATAACACTAGTTCTTGAATTTCATTTCTTTGATGAAATTTACGAAGCAAATCCCTTTATTAATGTTTAGTCTGCTGGTTTCTAACCTTGTTCTTTCCACAGAGGATGGTGATGGAGGCAGTCACTGCTATTCTTCGAAGTGGACTACAAGTTGGGGTAGTTCTTCAAGGGAAGAAGGTTAGAGACGACAATAGAACTCTACGGCAGGCTGGAATTTCTCAAAGTAGCAACCTCGACACACTTGGTTTTGCATTGGAGCCAAGTTCTACACATGTTTCTGGACCGAGGACTGCAAAAGATCTTCCTCTAGTATTACAATGTAATGCAGATCTACAATCATCCAGGTATGGTAATGTTTTTAGCCTTTTTTAGGGGCCAGAGGAATGTATGATTTTGTTATTTTAGAAATTTTACTGTTCCTACGGATGTGCTTTGCTTAGCTTCCGTAGGAATATTTAATCGCATATAAAATTCAAAAACCTTTTTTTTTTCTTTTTTATGAAATCATTCTCATTTCAAAAATCCATGGCTTGCTTCTCAATTATTGGATATAACAATATAAATAATGGAAGAATAGGGACAAAAAATATATTTTCCTCTCAATGAGCTCATTCTTGGATAAGTTAGAAACACATATTCCACATATGATATCTTATGAAAACATGACAATGTCCTACTAATCATGTATCTTATTTTTCAGGTCTCCAGCCAGTCCATATTTTGATTCGTGCATTTCAAAGGCCTCACTTGATCCTCGTCTAGTTATGAAGTTGGACAATGATATTGGTAGCAACCATGAATTAAAACCCTCCCCAAATGCCCCTACCGATGCATTAAAAGATGAAGCATTGCCCGACTCCAAGGCCTTGGTTCCAGTCCCTCCAACAAATATGGAGGCACTTGCAGTAGTTCCCTTTAACTCAAAACGTAAACATAATGAACTTTCGCAACGTAGGACTAGGAGACCCTTCTCTGTGGCTGAAGTGGAAGCCCTGGTTGAAGCAGTTGAAAAACTGGGAACTGGAAGGTTTGTGATATATAAATATTTATGGTATAGGGGTGAACATATTTAAGATTTGTTCCTTAATCAAGGAATTTGAAATTCTGATTAAATTTTAATTTTGCAGGTGGCGTAATGTTAAAATGCGCGCATTTGAGGATGCAGATCATAGAACTTATGTGGACTTGAAGGTATATCAGTAATCTACTCTTAATTACTTGGTATCTTTATCGAGATCTCATGTCTTATATAATACATTTTGGTCTTTTATAATTGGCTCCTTTCTTTTTAATGTGTGAATATTTTAATGTTTGGTTAAGATGTCGTCATCCATATAATATTGGTGGCTTATAATATTGGTAGAGTGCTAAATGATTGCATGAGAAACCAGTGAACAATCACATGGGATGGATTAGGTTGATAGTATTATAATTATTCGATTAGTGACTCAATAATCATCCATTTGCATCTCTAATATGGGTTTTGGTTGGTTTAAAGGATAAATGGAAGACCCTAGTTCATACTGCAAGCATATCTCCTCAGCAACGTAGGGGAGAGCCCGTGCCACAGGATTTGTTGAATCGAGTCCTAGCTGCCCACACATATTGGTCGCAGCATCAACCTAAGCACGGAAAGCATCAAGTCGAACCTCTGCAAATCACAGATTCTCCGGTTGAGATGGTAGGAGCTTGAAAAAGGTTTCTGATTGTGAAGATGAAAAATTTATGTAGGAAAATTTATATGACCATGAATTGTACAAATAAAGTATTATGTTTTTTAAGTTTCATTTAGCATTCTCACACTGATTTCTTGCCTAGTCTTTCATTGTGACTGTAGATTGACTGGCCTGCCTTTGTAAATGGTTTGTGGAATAAACGTTAATTTCTAACAAAAATTAGTATTAAGACTTTTTTTGGTTTATTTCTAAAGCAAATCTAATTTCATACCAAGTTTTTATTTATGTCACATTATCACCATATGTATACTTATCATGTGTTTATTCATGTCACATTATTTATTCAAATTTCTCTCCCTCCAGTGCATATAAAAAGTTTGCTCGACTTTATCATCCAAAGATCTTGGTCTGAAATCTGATAATTAAATTTATGCTACACAAAGTGAAAAAATTTTAAAAATCTAATCAGTATGTTAATGAGATGTTGGTTTAATACTTTTTTGAAAAATCACGTGTC